ATGGGCCAAGGACCCCTCGGTGGACAGAGACTGAGCTGCTGTTACATATGAAACTGAGTGCTGTAAGCTCGGCCTACGTGCATTTTAATTCTATTTAATATGCTTTTAAGAAATATTAACTTTGGATTAAGCTTTGGCTGAAGCTTTGAAAATGTAAAATATAATGCATCTTGTAACTTTTGGTTGAAGTTTCTTTTCTATTTAGAAAATTATTTTAGAAATTGATAGATTTATATACTCGGAACTCATGCAAACCAAAAATAAGCAGATCCCTATCATTTACCCTTGCATTCATTTTCTGAAAAAAGAAGAAATAATTTTGTTATTTATACATAAATGTAACTATACTACAATAAACACTTTAAATAAATAAATAACTGCAATTCCACTGTGGTACAGCATTGCCATATGGAAACATTATTTTCACAATTTACAGTATGTTAGGCAAAGTTAAACTCTGAATAAAAATATCTAATTTACTTAAAGATGCACCAAAAAAAAAAAAAAACTTGAGAAGAGATGTTTAGAAATGAGGTTAATAGAGCAATTTCTGGAGCACTTCAGCAGGTGTCTTCCGTGTGAGGGTGACAGTGGGAAATTCAAATGTCATGTGACTTAAAAACAGCACATCATTGTCTACCTTAAGGCCTGCCTTTTTAATTCCCATATTACAATAAATTGTATTTTTTCTGAATAAAAAGGAAATGAGTAGAAATTAATTCTTGCCATATGGCAACTCCATAAAGGGATATATATAACACATCTTGTCGAGCAGTGAATTCAGGTTAAAATGGAGAGGTAATGATCAGGGAAGGAATGGAGGATAATAGAGGACACTTCAGTTTTGGATAAGAAACAAACAAGATCATGATTATAGTAAAAGCTGAAAGATCCCTGTGTAAAAGAGCGGGGGTTACTGGTGTTGTAGTTCAGATATTGGAAGTGGAGAAAATCTATATATCTATGAAAATCTATGTAGTAATGAATTGTTACAACCCTTGTCTAAGATTAGTTGTGAGTGATCTAGAACTTTAATGTACACTGCACTTTACAGGAAGAAGTGACGATGGATGTAACTGTTACGAGGCTGACGAGACATGAGACGTGCGGATCCAAATGCAAGGCTTTATTTATAGACATGGTTAGAGACAGGCAAGGGTCAGAAAATGGCAACGGGTATATAGAGGGCAAGACACAAGAATATTCCTAGGGCTAGCGTGGGTCTACGATCGGTGAACAGAATTAACAGGGCGAGACTAGAGGGGTAAAACCAAGAACAATGCAAAGGTCCAGGCAGGGGCAAACAGAATCAGAATAGGGCAAGACGAGAGGGAGAATCCGAGGTACACAGGCAAAGATCAGGATACGAGAAAACAGACGAGAGAGGTAATCCAAAGTGCACAGGCAAAGATCAGAACACGAGGAATCAGACAAGGCAAGACTAGGCTAAGACTATGAAATTTCAAGAAGGCTCCGTAACGTAGCTATCACAACTAACGATAAGCGCATACAATACTCGGCAGCTTGACGGGGATCAGAGTGAGTGTATATATAGGGAAGGTGTGATTGATGACAGCTGTGTGCAATCAGTGCTGTGTGCAATCAACTGTGTGTGTGTAATCAACTGTGTGTGTGTAATCAGTGCAATGGATGATGGGAACTGTAGTCCGGGTGAAGTGCAACAGTGGTGTGGTGCAAGAGTCCATAGTAGTGGAAGGGTGACCTCTGGTGGCAAGCAGACGGAAGTTCATGGACCGGATTCGTGACAGTAACAATGATAGATTCAGGATTAGCTGACGTGGATGTAACTTTTCCATGTTGTTCTAACTTAATGGAAAACTATTAAGAATTGTCCTATGAATAATAATATTATATATTTTCTCTTTATATATTATAAAGTTAAATTGTGATTTCTATTGGGATAAAGAGAGTGACCAAAGGAAAGACCTCACTGAGGTGACAGTAGAGGGCACTATTGAGACGGCTTTCAAGAAAACAGATCCAGATAAAAAGGGAAGAAGTGCTATCTAGATTTAACGGATAGTGAAAAATGTGATGATAATGCTTTTACTTTTGAAACTTTTGTTTTTGTTTTCCTATTATACCATAGCCTATAAAAAGGAATAAAATGTGATGTTTATTCAGTCTAATCTTATTAATTATTTCTCTTTTTGCTTTAGCCTATGTTGTTTAATGCTTGATGCAAAGAAAGTTGTGCTAAATCTTTCTGTTCTGTTTGTTGTATTGTACTGTAATTTGACGTCATTGCCATTGTTTAATTGTTTGATGACATATCAAAATAAAACCGTCACAATACGAAAATAAATCTATTTGCTATGTGTTTTTAATTAAAGAACAAAATACAACATATTTCAATGTTAATGCTAAATATATCTATAAGTAAGGGGTCTCTATTGTGTTATTCGCAGTGCTTTATGGGAGTGTTTTGCGGCGATTTCCAATTACATTTCTCAAGATTATGAGCAGTATTGGGGAAAGTTACTTTTAAAAGTAATGCATTACAATATTGCGTTACTCCATAAAAAAGTAACTAATCACGTTACTTAGTTACTTTTTATGGAACGTAATGCGTTACGTTACTTTTGCATTACTTTTTAAATCTGGACAGGGCTCGCTTGTTTGTTTTTCAAATAAAAAAGTTCTATTTTTGGCAAATACTGTATAAAAGCCTTTTCACACCAAAAGTGAAACGAATAAGCCTCAGGCTGAAGGGAAAGTAAATTTACGTCCGTACAGTAGAATGCAGAAGAAGACATTTCAACACACTTCAGCAATAAAAAAAGACACACAAATGTTTGTCTAGAGTAATTTTTGCTTAGTAGTATTGTTGAACTGGATCATCGAAGGTCAGAAGCAAAGACATTGGTTAATAGAATGGGATTAAATACATAAACAATATTTGTGTTGTTTAACATAATAATATTCTGAGTTGCATTATTTTTATTCATTTTAAGGAATACTGAATCTGTGTTTTTTTTTGTGTGAGTGAGATGAATTAATGCATATTCATATTTATTTTAGAACTACAGTGACATCTTCTGATTTCTGTCACCATGGCGACACCAGAGCTGTCAATCAATAAATTGGAAAAAAAAGTAACTTGCGTTACTTATTTGAAAAAGTAACTCAGATATTCTCTTGTAAATTTAAAAGTAATGCTTTACTTTACTAGTTACTTATATGATTACGTAACTCGCGTTACTTGTAATGCGTTACCCCCAACACTGATTATGAGTAGCTAATGTAGCTCCTCACCGGGAATTCATCAAAGTCGTTTTAGAGAAAAAAATGAAGGTGAAATCACTTATATAGTTCTTTCTAAAATAAATATGTCATACCAAACATGTAAAACTAGCAGCAAGGCCCTCAATTTATTATATCACTATTTGTTTCCACTCAAAAGTCGTTTATTTAAAGCGTCTCCTGCGTTGACTTCCATCCAAATAGCCTCAGTCGCTTTTTAAGCGGAGTTTGGCTCCCTCTCGCGGAGTACTCCCTCTCGTACACGTGACCTTAATTAATATTCAGGAACCAATTCGGCCGCCTTTCAACAAATCAAGTAGGTCGATTTGGCCTAACACGCCCTACCTCACTATGTGGAAATATTAGCATAATGCCGCCCAAATGTGCACGCAAAGAAAGAAAAGAAAGAAG